GCAATTTGTATAGGAAAGCTTGTCTACTAATAGTGATCACTGGGATATGTTAAGGGATAGGAAAATCTTAATTGCTATTCATGGCTCAGATCAGAAGTTTAATCTGTGGTTTATGTTAGTCTCCAACTCAACTTTGCTTTAGTGGCTTATCAGAGGGAAACTCTCCTGTGCTGAAATCCATCCTACACTCTTCCTTCCCATCCAGAGATGGCCATTTCCTGATGCAAGAGAAATACAAAAGAGCAAAGGATCATCTTTACAGAACAAAGAGTCATGAAAATGTGAAAGCTCTTCAAGGTGAAGGACTGACTTGAGGAATATTTGTGGGGGGGGGGGGAGTACTGGCAGTGTGACCAGGGCTGATATGTAATATCTCTCTGTGAAAATTAATTGGAGATTAATGCAATTTTCTTTCAAGTCAAAGGTAATTGGTACTGAAAGGTTTATAAGGGTTGAGAAAATGAACATTTCCTGTTGTGGTTTCTGTAATGTATCTCCAGTTGCAGCTGGCTTCATACCTAAGGCATGCGCGTGGACACATAGCCCACCCTGTCCTCAGAGAAGAATGAGTAAGTGCTTAAACATAAACTACAAATTGTGCAATGAACTCTCTCTCTTTGATTGGCTCAGACCTTTGTCTTCATCTGCTCTAAATGCATATGCATGCCTTTTCCTGCAAAAATTTGAATGACACAACTATGTAACCCCCCACCCTTCCTCTCCCTTCTACTTCACATGTGGGTGGAGGTGGGCTTACCTGTGGTGAGAAGAGATAAGAGGCAAGAAGCTGCACTGCCACTATAATTGGCCTTGGACCCTGGGTTTTGATGTTCCATTGCCAATTCAGTTAACTCAGTACCTATGAATCTTCCCAATCCCTTGCAGGGTGGGATTAGTAGGTTGCCTATATGGGATGAAGCTGGATTCCTTACCATATCCTTTGACCCAAACAAACACTGGCTGTGGAGATGTAGGTGTTGATTTTTTTTCTTTTTTAAAAAAACCTCACTGTTCACTGCAGTTACCCACTGTGCCTTGGGTGACAGTTTGACTTTGGTCCGACATTAACGATTAGATATGCCACAGCATGCTGTCTTAAGGCAAATGATATTTATTTATTTATTTTGCAAGATTTATATACCACTTTTTATATTAAAAAAACCCTATGAACAGTTTTCATGCCATATAATAAGATATTCATAAGAAAATAGCAATAAAATCAACAGATTTTTAAAAATAAGCTGATGTGAAAAAATGAACAAAATCCAGATAAAATCTGCAGTGTTGACACAAGGCCTGTTGATGAAAACCTTGAGGCATCATTTCAAAAGTGATGGGGGTGAGCGTGTCTTCCCTGTATCAGCCTCTCAGGGCCACTTGACCTAAAAGGAACAGTCATCCACTGACCTGTTTTGCACTGTTACGTGCATTTCTGTCTTGCATTTGATGATAGCTCAATCTGGCATTCATGATTAGGATGGGCGTTATCGCCCAGTCTTCCTTTGCCCCCTCCCCAAATCACGTGCAACTGAGCTGGAAAAAAATGGACAGAAGTCAACTCATTCCTTGGGAGGCTTGGCGAATGAGTAGGGCCAACCACTCCGTCACCCCCAAAGCACCCTTCCCTTTGACTTAAGTCCAGATGGTGTGCTGGCTGTTGAGAAACGTGGAATAAATTTTCTCTCTTTCCTTCTCCCTCCTTTTCCATTAACCTGCAGTGCATCGGGGTTTCCAGAGCAGTATCCCAAAGGACTACAGATCTCGCCGCAACCCCAGAGTTGTCCACGACTGGACCTAATAGTCAGGGGTCCCTTTACCTTTACACATCTCAAGGAAGCTCATTTCAGGCTTGAAAGAATGCCTGTGATGCCCTTTCTCATGATTATGTGATGCCCTTACTCATGATTATGCACCATGAATGGAGGAGAGACCATTAGATGCTGGACCAGCAAAGTACTTGGACTAGCAGTGCTTGTGCAGAATAGGAACTAGAACCTCCTTGAACTTCACCATTGGTAGCCCACTGAGACTGCTTGACCAAAAGGGCAACAGATCAACAAATACCCTAATAGATCAGCCTCCACTGAACTTTATAGAGCTTACTTATCCAAAGCTGATAGTGTCAGAGGGGTTGGCAGGGGAGTAATGATTAGGCCATGCTTCCCTTAGCACATTTGGGATGTGTGGACCATGAGATGATTTGCATTTGGAAGCCCTAATAACTGACTCTTTCTAGTCTAGAAAGTGGACACCTTTGAAACGCACATCTTCAAAATTGTAGTTTGCTCTGCACTGCATTAGTTAGGTATACATACTGCAGTATGAAAATGTAACCCTGTTACTATGTAGGTCTCGGGCAAAATATTCAAAATATATCTCCCTATACTTGTTCTTTGAAAAAAGACAGGCACTACATTTTCCTGCTTCATTTCTTTTGCTATATTGGGTAAATAGCAAGGATGGTAACAATGTGAAAGCAAAATTCTCTACAAAATTGTATTATCTGCAGTAATAAAAAATCTGATGCTATCTGATGAGATATTTTCATTTAAGGGTCTGGGATTTGATATAGTATTTCATCTAGAGGGTAAGGCATGTTGGTACACTTAGTAATTAGACATTCCTCTCAGATTTAGAATGTAGATTATTTTTATACATCTTGGCAGAAAAGAATATTTTCTTAAGGTTTTACTGGGGTATCATCAAGGTAGAATTGATCAGCACTGTAATTTCCTCAGGATCCTCATTGCAAAGTCCACATGTTATTGGTGACTTGATGATCTGAGAAATTGGCAAAGCAGTTTATTAAAAAATGA